ATCATCTTCATTATTTTAATTTTAGATAAATACATGAAACAGTTTCATCAAAATTAATTTCATTAATTAGTATATGAAACAATTTCATAACCACATATGAAACAACTTCATCAAAAAAAGTATTATATGAAATAATTTCACAAGATTAACAATTTCATGAAAAAATTTCATAAGATTAACGACGGATAATAGTAGTTTTTACGGTTTTTACAAATTGGAGTGGTTTTCATATATATATATATATATATATATATATATATATATATATATATAGGGCCAAGATCAAATGTTAACCCTTATTTTCATGTTAACCTTGTTAACTAATCTTGGTCATCCAAATTTGTAATCAATGGCTGTAAATTAATCAATAAAAAGATTTAATTTTTAAAATTTGAATTTCAATTAGGGCTGGTGAACAATGATGAAGGGGGTATTTTGGGAAGAAAAGTACAAAGAATAGGCGCGGGTAATACCAAATCAACAGTTACAAAAATCCTTTCCCAAAAAAACGTCGCTCATCACTTCTCATCACGGGGTTGAAAATCAGGTTCATCATCTTCACAAGAAAATGGCTGATTTTGGAGGATTTCCCGTTAATCAGCAGCAAAGAAGAGGTATGTTAACAAAAATTAGGGTTTTATCGTCGTTTGATTAGTATTATATTTCAATGACATCAGATCTTTACACTTCAGTGAGAAAGAAAAGCGAAAAAATAATGATGAAAACTTACTTCTCAAACTTCAAGAACACCATCGACAACCCAATGCAGAGGCTGAGTTAGAACAAACAAATGTTGTACCAAGTAATGCACAAGGCTCGACTAAAGGCAAATGTTTGGAAATCCTAAATAGGCTCAAGTTTGTTCGCTACTGATTTTAAGTTTATAGGGTGTTTTTTTCACAATTTTTTACATATAGTATGTAAGGATCGATATGTGATCATATTTGGGGGCAAGTGCACAAACATGCATACCCGATTATGGTAAAAAATAAGGATAACAGGTTAAAATGTAGATAGTCTAATATCATGTGAACTAGATAATATGCACTCCTTCAAAAATTTGGAATGATGTCTTTGTTAATGACTTATGTGAACACATTAACATATGATATTAAACACCCAATTACATGCACATTTTGTAATTAATCACTCATACAAGAATGCATAATTGGTAATTAAGCAATCATGTTTGTTAATGTGTGTGCACACCACAAGGTAAAGTGTTTTATAAGGTTAACGTTGGTTCATTTATGTTCATAGCTTGTTCACGTTGGTTCATCGTTGGCCCATGTATGAACACGTTGATAACAGATGCTACCTTAATTTGGGGGACGTATATGGATGTGAATATGTGGGCCGAAAAATCCACACATAGTACCAAAATGCACATATTCTAATGCATGTTCATATCGTGTTCACATTTGTTCATTTCTGGCTGACATATGAACATTTATGTTCATATCAAATGGTAGAAGCACAAATGTTCAATCAAGTAAGCAAATAGTCTTACATCAATGGGGACATGCCATTGGAGTTCCGTGTGTGTGTCTGTGCTTAGATCAAATCAAATGCACCTTATCACTATGACAACTTATATGTTGGTTCATGTACATTCAACTCGTACGCATGCGTCAACTAATATTGTTAAGTACACGATATGTGTTTGTAAGTTTGTCATTGATCTCATGTATATAACATGTCCCCGATCTCTATTCACATATAAGTGGTCATAGTGCTTCCTATTTGTGATAGGTAATACAAAATTAAGTTGAATTGTAATAATCGTATACGTTTTAAATGTAATGGTTTTAATATATATCACTATCTACATGATGCAATACTGTATGTGGTCAAATATGTATTATTGTCATTTTGGTCAAATATTGTATTATGTTCATAGCTTGTTCACGTTGATTCATCGTTGGCCCATGTATGAACACGTTGATAACGGATGCTACCTTAATTTGGGGGACGTTTATGGATGTGAATATGTGGGCCAAAAAATCCACACATAGTACCAAAATGCACATATTATAATGCATGTTCATATCGTGTTCATATTTGTTCATTTTCGTCCGATATATGAACACATAACCCCAACGCTATAAAATATCATATCGTGTTCATATCGTATAAAATATATGAACACATAACCCCAACGCTATGAACACCGGGTGCAAACACTTACACAAATATAAAGATTTGGTATCAAACTTAAAAAATAACATTTGTGTTCATATGATAGAAGTAACATGAACACAATGGTTCATGATTCATAAAAGTCGGTAATATGACAATATTAAAATGGGTCGTGCATGTACTTCAATTTGAACATGTGAATTAGGTACGTACTTTAATAATTAAAGAAAAAAACTATCAATACAAGATGAGTTATAAAAAACACAACACATCGTAATGAACATAATTTCGATTAAAAGGAATCTAAAAAAAATAAAAATCTATTACCATGACATTCGTTTTTGTTAATTTCTTCAATTCCCGACCTCGAACTCCGATTGTCATCATAAACCATTTTAATCTTATAATTGTTGTCGATTGATTTTCCATTGCGTTTATTCATATTAGCTAGATCGATACCGAAAATTTTTACTGCCGTGTTTTCTATGCGAATTAAAAACTGATAAAACAATAAACATGGAAGATCAAGATTAAAAAAAATAAAAATATTAATATTATAAATGCATATTTTTTGGGATTTGATAATTTGTGACTCCCTATTAATTGTTTGGGAGTTACATATCAAATAAATTTACTGAAATACCCTTGTAATTAAAATGTGAACATGACCTAAACCTACAAGAAGAATGAAATTTGATTGGTTGCCATGATTTTCAAAGTTAACACAAAGTTGTTGGTTAACATTTGATCTTCCCCATATATATATATATATATATATATATATATATATATAACACCAACAATGAGTAAGGTGATATATTTTGTTGATGAATTACTTATAATATTGAATTATTGATAATTAGTTAAAAATGAGTTATTATACAACTATTTATATTCTTACAATTCTTACAATCAAATCAGGAGTGTTTATTTGATTATCAATGATTACCATTTTGATAAGTTGTAACTACTCTAATTAAATAAAAAACCAAAAAAAGAAAAAATGGACTGGATGAATGAGTTGCATCGGTTGTATGATGTAGAAAGGTTGTATTTGAACGTTCCTTTATGATATTCAAACTACTGACAAAAAAAAATCAAATTGGTATCAAATTGAAGTCGATTGTAAGTTGTTGATTATCTAGAAGTAAACCTTGAAATAAATAAATAGATATACAAGAAACACATTTAAATTTGATATATATATATAKAKAGAGAGAGAGAGAGGGGTTGGTTATTATGCAACCCTTTACATTTGTACAACCAATGCAACTCAATCTCAACCGTCCATTTAATTTGATGAATATGTGATTTTATAGAAATTTTGATTGTTTCCTAATATAAAGTATTAATCATAATTAATGAACTCTATTCATCTTCCATAAATGTTCAAATCATAATAAATAAACTCTCATCATTTTCATAAATATCTCAATTAATCAGGTTGCATTGGTTGTACAAATAGACATGGTTGTATTTGAAATATACCCTATATATATATATATATATATATATGTGTGTGAGTTATTATACATCCATTTACATTTGTACAACCAGTACAATTCAATCTCAACCGTTCATTTAATTTGATGAATATGTGATTTAATAAAACTTTTGATTGCTTCCTGATATAAAGTATTGATCATAATTAATTAATCTTATTTATCTTCCATAAATATTTAAATCATAATAAATGAACTCTCATCATTTCCATAAATATTTCAATTTATTGGGTTGCATTGGTTGTACAAATGTGATGTGTTGCATTTGAAACAAACATACTCTCTCTCTCTCTCTCTCTCTCTCTATATATATATATATATATATATACTAGTTGTGTACCCGCGCAATGCGGCGGGAACCATGAATTTTAACGATTTTGAAGTTCCACTGGTTTTATAAGATAAGATTTAATGATGATATAGGTTACACTTGATCTTTACATATTAATACAATTTGAATAAATAAGAGTTATGGTTCCAATAACAGACTATCGATGGAAAAAATTGTATGACAGTTTAAAATCCAATATATTTAAAATCCAACATATTTAAACAACTCCACAAATGTGTTCGATTTACACCAAGAGTAAAGAACCAAGAAACTTGAGTTTTAAGATAAACACTCAAAACCAATAAAAAAAACT